TACTGGGAATTGCAAAAACAACATTTAAAGAGTTTTACCTGTTTCAAAAGCTATAATTGTGGTGGCATGGTACTTTGGTACCTCATTACGCGTTTTGCCAAATGTAACAGATCAGTTCGCGTGGGATAGGGGGGGGGGGGGAGGAGGCGGTTTAGCTTCATTCAACACTGTCCGGTCACTTTAGGTCAATTATCCTACCCAGTGTATAGCCTACTTAGTTGTGACTTTAATGTCTTTCTACATAATTACAGCCTGTCCCGTTTTGGGGTATGAGGGGGGGGGGAAATAACCAAATCAGAGTGAACATAGCGTCAGTTTTTATCTGACTGTTCTAAACATACATATACAATTATACATATAAACAGATTCAGAAATAGATTTAAATAAGTAACAGTGGTGTTATGACAATAACATTTTTTTTAGAGAGGAGTCCCCGGGGGGGGGGGGGGGGAGGTATAAATTTTCTTTAATTTTGTTTAATGTACATGCCGTCAATTGACACTGTAAGTTTGAAAAATGAAATTCGTTTTATAAAACCTTCAACATTAATTTTTTAATCATTAATTTAGATGATGAGCACTTTAGATATATTACACAATGGCGATCTACTCGATTATTTTTACTATATTCCTGTTTTAGCACGGGTCCCTCCGTCCGCCACATACATAATTGAACTTAATATATATATATATATATATATATATATATATATATATATATATATATATATATATATGCATTTGTAAGATTCTATTCTGATGGTCTTATAAATTATTGATAAAACTTGTTCTCACCTACGAACTTTCGATTAGAATCATTATAAGGAAATAAATATTACATGAAAACACTAATGTAGCATTATCTATAATAAAATTGCACCAAACTTTGCAAAAAAGAAGACAAGCGGTTTTTAAAATGAGAGATAATAATTAATTTAAACGGACCGTGTTCTCATTTCGCTAGATGTCACAGTTTTCCACTTGGTAATAGGATACCAAACTAACCTAACATATTCTGCAGTGGTACCAAACAACCCATTTAAATTAGCATCTAAACAATTCTTAAACCACCAGCCTGACTTATACCAAACAGCACAGCTTGAATTCCAACGATCAAATGTTGAGAGCCCCTGATTTCTGTGGATACTAAGTCCGTTGCCCGCGGTATCATAATTGGAATTGTATCGTAGTGTGTAGTTGTTCGTCTCGTCCGACAGCTGAAATCCAGAATAAACTTGCTATTAAATAAACTAAAATAGTTAACTAAAACCTACTAACACGAGCTATATTCTTGATTTACTAACACCAGCTATTATTGTCATGAACTTTTATAAGCGACTTAGAACATAGAGCAACTAAATTATCAACCCACAACATATAGCAACTAAAATAACATACAATATGTAGCAATTAAAAAACATACAACATAAATCAACTAAAATAACATACAACATAAAGTAACTAAAATAACACACAACATAAATCAACTAAACAACATTATACATAAAGCATCTAAAATAAAATAAAACATGAAGCAAATAAAATAACATACAACAAAAAGCACCTAAAAACAAAACCTGCAACATAGAGTACCGAAAATAACAGCTTACATCATAAAGCAACTAATGTAAAAACCCACCCTTGGATGCTGTGAAGGCACACGAGCTCAAGTTCCCATTGGTCAACAGGGTGACGTTCTCTCTGGTGTTACAGAACTGACCGGTCGAATACAGCTGGTTCATCGTCTGGTTGCCTGAGGAGTTCTTCGGTACCAGCCACGAACTTTATAGAAAAAAAAAGCGTAAATTAAAATAACACTTTTGAATAAAAACATGTTTGCAATAAAATAATCAACTCCTAAAAATTTTTTGGAAGGAGGAAATAAAACCAAACAAACTATACATATTTCAGCACATATATAATAGTTATAATTTTTTTAATTTCACGAAGAATGCGGGGAGCTTTAACGTTTATTCCAGAATCGTGTAACAAAAGATAATTATACCCAGTCCACAAATGCCAGACTGACTTTCGTACATAAAGCTGTAGCAGACTTTTTGTGTGTTGATGTAGTTTATACTACACTGGAGGGCGCTGTTGGTCGTGGACACCTCACCTATGTGCAACATCATTGTCTGGTTCCTGTCTTGTTTACTCAAGCTCATCTCTCGAACCTCAGCCACACCTGTAGACAGGTAGGAGCAACAATAGCAGCTTTTTTTTTTTAAATTAAAAAGCATAATTTTTAGGGGGGGGAGGACAATTTTTTGACTAACCAGTCATAGCTAGATGACCCTTATACTAGATAAAATGATATAAAAATAAGGCCTGCCGGACAAGGTAAGGAGCAGAGAGCTGGACTGCTAACCCGTAAGTCGCGAGTTCAAATCCGGGTTCAAGTCAGTAGACCGTCCTTAAGTCAACCCAGCTCTGATAGGTACCTAACTCTCGTTAGTGTAATTAAAGTCGGCTTCACTTGCCCCGTAGACCGTCAGGATTGAAAGGGAACTTTACTTTTACTTACTTACTGCCGGACGATAAATGCATACTTTGTATTACTTAAGAGGCTAAGCTAACTCTAAAGAGTGTCGATGAAGGAGTCCCACTGGCGTATTATTATTATCTTATGACGTTTCGCGGGTAGGCGTAGAGGAAAGCGTAATGACGGGAGCCTTTTTGTCGTGAGTCGTAATAACGGAGCTATTTTGTCGGGAGTCAAAATGGCTGGAGCCTATTTGTCGGGAGTCGTAATGACGTGAGCCTTTTTTTGAGAGCCTAAATGACGGCAGCCTATATTGTCACTGACCCTTCACCCAAGGTAATATAATTTAAAAAGACAATATAAACTTTTACCAGAGTCATTCACCCCCCGGATACATTTTCAGGTGCCCCCCATACCCTAGCCCAGTAGCGTCATTGGGGTATATCCGTTGGAGTTTTAACAATACCATTGTTTATCTGCAGCTTTTTAAACTGTGCCATGCATAAATTTCTTCCATAGGTCATTGGATCATGTCACATATCAATACCATGTCAGCACTTGATATATATTTTGTAATTATAATAGTAAACATTTTTTAAAAAATCTTGTGTTGGCTGGGAACTTCATGTTTTGAATAATCTTTAGTGAACTAGCCATAGGTTGAACTAGCTGTATGTTGAACTAGCCGTATGTTGAACTAGCTGTATGTTGAGTGGCGCTCTAATGCTGGCAACTGTATCTCAAAATTTATTAGAAACCATGAAAATCAAATTCTCGAAATAAAAATTTTAAAAGGTTTTATAATTAATGGAAATAGTTTAAGATATTTCATCCCAAAATTTGAACCCACGAATTTTGCAATCACTATAACATATTCAGAGATTGAGAACCGTTGTTCTAGATTTCGCTCAGGAATGCTTTTCCTCCGTGTACTTGCTGCAACTGAACAGAAATTGAATTATAGAAATGGAACTCGGGTGGTCAAACATTTGCTTAACGAAAAGATCTTTGTTTTGAAACTGGTGAGAGTTTTCAAATGTTAACAACACTAAAATGTGAACAAATTTAAGAAAACATTAAAGAAAAAAAAGTCACCAGGAAATTATTAAACTTTTATTGAATTGATTTATTTGCAGTATTGAAATTTGTTATAAAGTGATTTTTTAAGAACATTAAATTGTATGTTGTGTAGTCATACATTTTATGACTCCAATTATTGAGACAGGATTTCGTCATTGCAGACGATAGAATCATTAACAAGGGTTCGATAACTGCGCATATGAAACTGATGGTGTTCGGTACCTCCAAAAACGTTAAAAATTTCTGAACTAGATAGAATAAAAATGTAAAATAGATAAGATATGAGTGTTCAACGCCATATTTTTGAAAAGGTAGACCATAGCTGTTCCATTGACTCTAACCTTAACCGTGAAAAAAGATAGACCCAAGGCATTACTACACACCCTATACAGTGCATGGTCTACTTTATTAATTTCACGAAACATTAAATATGTTTCAGGCAACTGTTATTAACTTTCCATTTTTAGTTGAATGGATATTGTATCACAATCAGCCTTGGGTTAGTTCCAAGTCTAGCCACCAAGTCTATTTTCTGTTCATTACCAAGTCCCTTTTCGCGCAACCAATCACAGATACCGTGCAGAAAAAAATATGCTATACAAGAGATAAATCAGGAGCGGATCATAAAATTAAACAGTAATAATAGTTTCTACAAAAGACAACATACAAACAACTTCAGACTTACCCCTTCAGAAATTGTAGTAAGTCATCACACTTTGTTTTTAAGAAGGGGAGTGTGAGAGTGCATAAATATTAACTCTAACTACTAACTAGGACCCCGGATAGTTGAGACTTGTTAGCATGGAATAACATCGAGGGAAAAATACCAAAATAAAACAACTTCTCTCTTGCACGTTGCTTTTGGTTGGACATCGGCTATGGAAACAAATTCAGAAAGAAAAGCAGACTGAAGTCGGAATAAACGGGCGCATACCACTTTTAATTTATTGTGTTGGGCATAATAAATACCCTCTAGTAGTGCAATTAAGAACGAAAAAAAAATTAAGCCTTCAAGAAATAGAAAAGAAAAAAATCAGCTCAAACTATTTGTATCAAACAAGAAGGTATATGATAATACTTTGATTCCTTTAAAATCCCGGTACCCAGCAACTCAAATTAAGATAGAAAAGTATATAACAGGATTGAATATAAAATCAAGGCAAGATCGTAAAAGATCCTCTATAGATAGATAGAACAACACCGGAAAACACAAAACATAACTACAGATGCTTCAATTCGTCATTAGAAACATATTACAAAGTATTGGACAAACCCTCAGAAACATATTACAAAATATTGGTCAAACCCAGAAAAAAAAGCATTACAAAATATTATACAACCGCAGAAGTCATTAAATTATCACGTGACAAACTCCAATCCACTGGGCACAAGAATGAAAGAACCTCACTAAAACCAAAACGCGGTGAGAAAAATAAATGTTATGGTGCTGACATTTCTGACGACGACCAATGAATATGAGAAGCGTTAGCATCCAAGTACAAATAAAGCAAGATAAACACTGCGCTGGATGATTGCGTTGCTCTCTGTGTTACAAACCTGTAATTCGTGTAATTATAATTTTAAAAAAATATTGAAAAACCTCCACATTCAAGATCAATTTCCGTCAGTTTATCAACCAGCATTTATAGAGTTAAACGGATCTTATTTTCATTTCGCTTGTCGTCGCACTTTGCCAGCTAGTAGTGGGAAACCACATTAACCCTTGAGCGTCCACGGTGCTGCCGAACTCGCCGTTCAGATTGGAGTGCTGGCAGTTCTCAAACCACCATCCAGCGTTATTGGCGCAGCCCGTGTTGGCCCAGTCAAAGGTTGAGAACCCCTGATCTTTGTGGATGTCGAGCCCATCGCCCGCATCCCCGTAGGTTGAAGTAAACTGTAGCTTGTAGTTCAGTGACTCGTCCGACAGCTGAAATCCTGAATAAACTTGGTAGTAGCTGCCCCCATTGTAGGTGATGTCGATCCTAAGTTCATGTACACTTTTGGAGCTGATGCAGTAAATGTTCTCATTGCCCAAGTAGAAGTTGCCATTGCCGTAATCCCCAAAGCCCTTCTTGTAATCCTGCCACCCACGCCTAAATGAGACGTCATCAGACACACGTCTCTGTATAACGGTCCAGCCTCCCCCACTTGTGGTTGTGTCACACATGACCACTAGCCCAGAGGTCAGTCGCACCACTTGTCGGGAATTCCCGCTCGGCACATCTCTGCAAGTTTTGTAAATTGGAATACTCTGCGGGTCAAAGGTTGGGTTGTTGCCGATGTTGATACTATTTCCTGAAACAATTATTTTGAGACAAATAATTTTAACTTTTAAAAACTACAATTCTATCTTATATAAATGACACGTAGCTTAATTCATTTAAATAGGATTCTTATATAACATGGACATATTTCTGTAAAGATGTTATCATATTGTGTTTCGAAATTCTCATAAAAGAAATGAGAAAGCTGATAAAGTGCATTATTGAAAGTATTGTTTCCATTCATTAAATCATATTCATAGAATAAAACTAAGAAAAAAAACTACTCTATTATTAAAGCTACCTGCGCAAGCTGTGACGTCACACGAGCTCAAGTTCCCATTGGCTAGGAGCGTGACGTTCTCCCTGGTGTTACATAGCTGACTGTCGGAGTGGAGGGGAGGTTGGGGCTGGGGGACCGATTGGTTCGTTGGGACCAGCCAGGAGCCTGAGTACAGGAAACCAAAATAATCAAAACTTAGTCTAATTGTTCAAACTGTACACACTCTCATTTGCATACTTGCATCCATCTTCACACATCTATACGATAAACATACTTCTCTCTCTCTCTCTCTCTCTCTCTCTCTATATATATATATATATATATATATATATATATATATATATATATACATACATCCATATATATATATATATATATATATATATATATATATATATATATATATAGATGGAATTGTGGAAATATATTCTTTACTTGACATTTCACAAACACATGACAAGACGTCATTACCTAGCTGGCATTTGCCTGACATCTTGTCATACATGAAGCTGTAGCAGACCTTCTGTGACCTGGTACAACGCATGCTACACTGGACTCGGCTGCTGACCGTGTACTCCTCACCTATAGACAACATCATTCTCTGTGTCTTGTCCTGTGCAGTAAAGTGTCTCTCTATAGCCTCACCTGCTAGACAAATGAGTTTGCTAGTATAGACCTGTTATCACGTGCAGAGACGTAGCTAGGGGATGGTTGGTGGGGCGGTCGCCTTGGGTGCCGACCATAGAGGGTCGCCAAACGGGGTAGAAAAAAAGTAATAAAAAGCTAATTCTTAACTGAATTACAAAATAATACACAACTTTAAAAAATCACGAAAAACGTTTGAATAACAAGCTTTTCATGTAATAATGCACTGAAAAGTAGAAAATAAATGATTTTCTTCAATGATAGAATAATATATTACAATTAAAATAACTATAAAGATAAGCGAAGGTCACTTTAATATCTATTGGATAACTTTGCTAATATTTAGGAAGAGACCCAAACTTTTCTTTATAGTTATTTATATCAAATAGTAGAGTATTATCATAAAACGTTTTTACAAGCTTTCATTTAACTTGCTTCCTCTGTCGTATGTCTGTCGTCAGTCTTGATCGAAACACCCAAGAGAAATTTTAGGCGCTTCTAACTGACAGATACGATTCAAAGTTGGCTCGTGGGTCAAGACATTAAGACAATGTAATGTGACATAAAATTTATCAATTATTTAAAGATTTGACCAAATTACTAGATTGTCTTATCCAACTATTCCGCGCTATTATACACGCGTTATCACGTTCATTAGGTGCGCAATGGTTTTTAGACATGCAACTATTTAAATTTATTAAAAAATATAAAGTATGCCTACTGAAAAAAGTCATAAAAACTCTTTAACAACAAGATTTTATGTAATAATGCTTTAAAAAGTAAAAAATAAATGATTTTCTTTAAATATTTATTAATACACTACCATTCAAATAACAAAAAAGAAAAGCGTGGGTCTCTTCCTAAATATTAGTAAAGGTATCTAATATATTGTAAAGTAATCCACTCTTTTCTTTATAGTTATTTAAATTGTACTGTATTATTGAATATTTAAAGAAAATCGTTTATTTTATCCTTTTTAGTGCTTTATGACATAAAAGCTTGTTATTTAAACATTTATAAATGAATTTTTTATAAACTCCGCTTTCACCCCCTAGCTTTCTCTATTTATATTTAGGGCTACTGGCTTAATAAAACAATATCCCCACGAATATCAACATATTTGTTCAGTTTATTTTAAATTCTGTTTCGTACATACCAAATTTAAAGTGAGTCTAATCTTTCAAAATAAAAATGCAAGTATGTAAATAAACCTCAGTATTGTTAACTCTAATTAAATGCTAGACCTGCCATAGTCTAATTACTTGTAACGTTGTTTATGTAATACTTACCAACAGTAACACAGGTTACAAGCAAAAGAATACCAAGACTAGACATGTCTGTCTGTAGCTTGTCAAGTGTTATGAAACATCGAAGTCACAGACTTCTTGGTCCGGAGTGAATCAAATATGTTGCATGCAACTTTTGGTTTCAACACCAACAGTGTTTCACGAGAATGCTCTTCTCTTTAAAAAAAAATTCTCGATAAAAATAAACATTTATTCATAATACATTAAGTGAAACATCGATTTTTCCACAAAACAATAATTTCCGTGCATATGAAATTTTAGCTATTGTGAGAATATAATTAACCGTATTGATTGACCATGCACAGAGATGTTCGACAGTGAAAACTTATAAATTAGTTACTGTGTTTTAGAAAGTTTCTTTTTGCTATTGTCGACAATATAATTAGAAAAGGGTTATAACATGCTCCTGTTCTTTCTTCATGCCTGAACGTTTTATTTCCTATTTTTTGTGCAGACCACTCTCTTGCAATATCTGTTTATACCAGTACTAGCAGCAAACCCGTGCTCCGACACGGCGAACCTTTTAAATGTACCAACTATGGAATAGAACAAAACTAAACACAAACACAAAACAAAACACAAACACAACGCAAAAACAAATAGCATAAACACAAAAGAAAACACAAACAAAAAGCAAACACAAACACAAAAAAGCACAAACACAAACATAATGCAAACACAAACGAAAAAACACAAACACAAACGCTACACATAAACTCAAAATAAAACACATCGGAAACACAAATACAAAAGAAGACACAAATACAAACATAATTAAAAAACAAACGCAAAAAAACACAAACAAAAACGCAAAACAGAAACACAAAATAAAACACAAACACAACGCAAAGAAAACACAAACCCATATCGCCTACAGAATAGCCCATCACTCAAAATCGAACCCTGCCTGGGCGACGGCGGATGCACCTAATTCAATTTAGTAAACGACTATAAAAACCCCAGCTTGTCCGCAAACCGAAAGTTTAAAAAAATAAATAAATATAGGGGACATTTAGGAGCGGCTTCTGAACTGTTATTGAGTAAAAATAATAATTAGTAAACATTACGCTTAGTGTAAAATAAAAAAAGGCAGTATTTAAAATATCCGTGTTTTACCTACCATATTGCACTTTATCAATCCATGCTTATTATATTATTCCAACAATAACTCCTTTATGGACGTCCGCAGATTTTGCATTCGCATTTTTTAATAGGATGGTAAGTAGGTCACCAACCAGTTCTACGGCTCAATAAAACCTGCATGAGCCATAGAACTGGTTGGTGACCTACTTACCAGCTCTATTAGCGTGAGTTGAATTTATTTTTAAATTACCCCCCCCCCTTGACATAACTATTAAATATTTTAATTCAATAGTTTCTTCGACCCTACTGTTATTATAATGTATCCACTATTTCTAGGAATCTAAGCTAAAGTATTATTTGACATTGATCTGTTTAATATCTTTTAGTAATGTGAGTGTATTCAATATTTTCTTTACGTTATGCGAAAAAGTAAAAACTGTAACAACTATAAAATAAATTTAAATCGTTATATGAACAAACCCTACTGTACTACTTATAATACGACAATGTGATGCAATCTAAAAGCACAGCATAGTGCGATTTTTCGTTTATGGTTCCAAAATCTATAGCGACGACTGACTGACACAATAGCAGCAGCGTTATATAATAGATAACTCATTAACTCATAAAGGTCAGTATTTTCGGATCGGTATAATTTTTTTTTGTAAAAGCATATTTAAAAAAAATTTAATCGAAAACAAAAGATGATTAAAATAAAATTGTAATGAGATATTGCTATAATTTACTAGATTTAATCAGACATGAGAAAACCTTTTCCAACGGAAAAATACGCAAACAGAAATATGTGTTAACAGAAATTTGCACACACAGAAAAATGCGCAAAGAGACAAATGCGCAACCAGGAAAATGCGTACCAGGAAAATGCGTATCAGGAAAATAAAATGCACAAAGAGAAAATTTCGCACACTGAAAACTACGCAAATAAAAAAATGCGCGCATAGAATATATGTCAATGTATGTGTGCTTATGCGTTCATGATTGAGTTTGCACATGCCTATGTGTATACATAAACAGGTATATTGCATTCCAACGTCTGTATATTTTTATAGAATGATGAATGCGGGCTGACTTTATACAATAAATAGAGTCATTAATTGTTAAAATTTCCCGATCATAGATGCTCTTTGACCAAAGGTGATAAGCCCACATGTTATTTGACCACAGCGAATGGTTGTTCACAGGCAGTTCACCGCGGGTGTTGATCAAAGGTGATTTGACCATAGGTGATTTGCATAACTAAGCCTACACATGCACCTATCCTTACATATATACCTACATTCACAGCTTCACGTATATGTACACCGACGACTTTCAGCTACTAGCCGTCAGAACGACCAACCCACCCACTGACACGCCTGTCTAGCTTGCTATTTGTCTGCTGGTCTGGATGTCAGTCCATCCGTTCGCCCATACATCTAAATGCCATGCAAATTCTATTGTCAGTTTTCTGGTTAACTAAAAGAGAGTTAACTAAAATAGAGTTGTGCAATTGCATTAAAAAATATTAGCACGTCCATTTGAACATGTCGAAAAATAAGCAGGATGGACAGATGGTTAGCTCATGTTATAACTGGCAGGGAACCATACTAATAAACCGAGAGTGATCTCCCTTAAACTTTCTCGAATATTCTTATATAAAACAACAGGGGATGGCAACTTGATATATAAACACGATTTTTAAACCATTTGTAATTGATTGAACTTTTGAAAAGAGAATAAAAATCTCGACGTTTTACACTTCCCTGATTCGCACAAAATAGTTTTGCAATTTGTACATGTCTCTGTGTGTGTGTATGTATATGTGTGTCTGTAAACACGATAACTTGAACACCGTTAAAAGTATTATATCAAATTTGACCTTCTGTATAAACGTTTCAGCAATTTCCGGTACCCGGAAGTGGAACTTATTCTACTTTCAATTTTTTCAAAAGCCTATAACTTAAGTACTGTTTCAGATAGATGAAAGAATTTCACACGAAAGTAAAAGATCTACTTACTGCCTTCTGTCAATTTTTGAGTAATTCCCATTTACCGGAAGTAGTAACTTACCCCATTTCCAATTTCTCAAAAAACGCAAGTGAATTTATAAATTATTAATAATATTCCGCACGATTATACACATATTATTTAACGTTTGCTTGGTGTGCAATGCTTTTTTTCTACGAGATTCTATTTTTAAAAAAAATGAGTTATTAAAAATGGATTTTAAAATCATGTTTTTATTCCGAGTTGCCAACCCCCGTAGTGTTATGTAATAATATTCTAGAAAGTTTAGGTGAGATCACTCCCGGTTTATTTTTTATCGTGTAACTAAGTTTTGGATATGTATTAACCATTATCAGAATGTTTTAAAAAGAAACAAAAAGTTCATTGGTATATCTTGATATGCCCCCTCCCACACACTCTTTCTATGAATCACATATTGCTGCTGATCTTGACACAAAATTAAGTGAATACATTCAGTCATGGACACCATTCCACAGTGATGATTAGTTGTGATAGTTATGTTGCAAACAAAATGAGCAGCCATTCATGAATTATAATCATTAGTTCTGCTAGTCTCTCCGCCAGAAACCTCGATATAGGTATCATGAGAGCTCACACGGTTTTCAATAGCTCTGAATGAAAGGTAGTTAAAATAAAAGAATAACTAGTTGTCTTTGCTGCATGTTAGTTCCATGAAGTTATGATGCAGTGAAATTCGAAGCGACATGTTTTTATAGCGTTGGCTGTGGTAACGATTTTTTTTTCCGTGTACGATTTCTTTATGCTAAGAAAAGAGAAAAAACACCATTTGGATTTTTATATTGTTTTTACATTTGAATTTCTGATGATTTTATTATATTTAAAAACTAAAATTTGTTATTAAAATTCCTCCTAACTTTCATTTCACTAACAACCTAACAGTTTACAAATGCTACACCTTGTAGGTGTATTAATCTAATACATATAGCAGTGATAAACATTTTTTGTTTTATTTGAATCACTAAGAACGCTAAAAGAAAATGTGGATCTCTCATTTTTTTTAACTATATGTTTGACTTGACTTTAAATATAACAGCTATGCATTTATCAAATAACATGACGGTAGCCTACTTTGTTGCAGTGAAGTACGTATTTAAAAATCGAAAAAGGGATGAGTAACACATTTTGGTTATAAAAAAGAAAAACAACGAAATCACAAGTGATAGTTTGACAAAGTTTATTTAGATTGATAAATCTTAAAACGTAAGATAAAGACTATTCGAAGAAATAGGTAAAACGTGCTAAACGTCTGTATAAAGGAATAAAATATTTAACATATCACCGGCACCAGCAGGAAAAGCTAATAATCAATAATACTAATACTAATTTTCTCTTTGAAGCCAAATATTTGTTATGTTGCCTCTTGGTTTCATACACATGAAAGTTTAAACGGACTTTATTTTCATTTCACTAGATGTCGCACTGTACCACTTGGTAGTAGGATACCAAACTAACCCAGCATATTCCGCAATGGCACCAAACAGCCCATTTAAATTTGCCTCGAAGCAGCTCTTAAACCACCAGCCTGACTTATACCAAACAGCACAGCTTGAATTCCTGCGATCAAATGTCGAGAACCCCTGATTTCTGTGGATACTCAGTCCGTTGCCCGCGGTTCCATAGCTGGAATTGAATTGTAGTGTGTAGTTGTTCGCCTCGTCGGACAGCTGAAATCCAGAATAAATTTGGTAGTAGCTGCTCCCATTGTAGGTGATATCAATCCTAAGTTGGTGCAGACTTTTGGAGCTGATGCAGTAAATGTTCTCATTGCCCAGGTAGAAGTTGCCATTGCCGTAATCCCCAAAGCCCTTCTTGTAATCTTCCCAGCTCCGGTTAAACAAGACATCCCCAGACACACGTCTCTGTATAACGGTCCAGCCTCCCCCACTTGTGGTTGTGTCACACATGACCACTAGCCCAGAGGTCAGTCGCACCACTTGTCGGGAATTCCCGCTCGGTACATCTTTGCACGTTCTGTATACGGCGACATTCTGGGGGTCAAAGGTTGAGTTGTTGGTAGTTTCGATACTATTTCCTGAAAAAATAGTTTAAAGACAAACAAGTGGGTCATGTTCACGGGTTAAAATTATGGTTGTCCTGTATGTTTACAACACTTTCAAAAATAAACGAAGACATCTCTTCTCTTAAATAAACTAAATTAGTTAAGTAAAACTTATTGAAATCTAGTATATTATTGTCATGAACTATTACAACAACTTAGAACACAGAGCAACTAAATTAACAACTTACAACAAAGACCAACTAAATCAACAACCTACAACTTATAGCAACTAAAATAGCATACAACATAAATCAACTAAAGTTAAGTAAAACTTATTGAAATCTAGTATATTATTGTCATGAACTGTTACAACAACTTAGAACACAGAGCAACTAAATTAACAACTTACAACAAAGACCAACTAAAACAACAACCTACAACTTATAGCAACTAAAATAGCATACAACATATATCAACTAAAAAATACGACATAAATAAACTTAAACAACATTATACATAAAGCAGCCAAAATAACAACCTACGGCATAAAGGAGTCAAAATAAAAAACAACGCAATGCAACTAAAATAAAAACCTGCAACATAGAGCACATAAAATAACAACTTACAACATACAGCAACTAAAATAAATACCGACCCTTGCATGCAGTGAGGTCACATGAGCTAAAGTTTCCATTGGTCAGCAGTGTGATGTTCTCTCTGGTGTTACAGAACTGTCCAGTCGAGTACAGCTGGTTCGTCGTCTGGTCGCCTGAGGCGTTCTTAGGTACCAGCCACGAACCTTGTAGCAAAAAAGTGTAAATTTAAAAAAAAAACGCTTTTGAAGGAAACATCAGTTTGCAATAAAATAATGAACTCCGAAAACTATTTTGGACGGAGGAAATAAAACCCAACAAACTATAAATATTTGAGCATATAAACAATAGTTATAATTTTTTAAAGTTCACCAAGAATGAGACGTGATGAATGAATCTTTAACCTTTATTGCGGGCCTGTTTATTATAATAAAAACGGGGATTTTACTATAATAGCTTGCTTTCTAGCGCTAAAAAGTGTAGCTTTTAAGTGTAGCTTTGTGTGTATCGAAATGCCGTTGAGATGGGATTGAAACAAATAACAAAAGATAAATATACCCAGTCTACAAATGCCAGACTGACTGTCGTACATAAAACTGTAGCAGACATTTTGTGTGTTGATGCAGTTCCTGGCACATTGGAAGATGCTGTTGGTCGTGGACACCTCACCTATGGGCAACATCATTGTCTGGTTCCTGTTTTGTTTACTCCAGCTCATTTCTCGAACCTCAGCCATACCTGTAGACATTTTCAGGGGAGACAAATCTTAATTTTCCTTTTGTCTATTATAAGTGGTAAAATATATATTCAGTGACATACCATACAGTTATTGCAGTGTTATAAAAATAATTTTGAAATTTTGAATAATTTACAACCAGCCTCAATAAATCTTTGTGAATTTTACACTTCCGACTGCTTTGTGTTAGATAATGATAGATTCAGTCATAGGTAAATAATACAACCAACCTTGAGTTATTGTGCATAACGTCAGTAAAACTGTTCTAGGCCACATAGTTAGGTAAAGTCTGCCGCATTCAATTTCTTGTGTTTCACTGTGCCACCATTTGTTTAATGTTTATGGCTGTGTCAGAATTTCGACGAACATCATCAAATATAAGACATCTTTGAAAATGAAAACACCTCTTTTAAAACATAGTCAGATAATCAGAATTAATATAACTAACGAGTTCTATAGTAATTATGCAATTAGATATACTATATTTTCAAACGTTTAAACACAAAATGAATAAACCGGGAGTGTAAACACGATAACTTGAGTACCGTTACAGCTAGGTTGATGAAATTTCATACATAAGTATTATATCAAAATCGTAGATCAGTATCAACTTTTGAGCGATTTCCAATAACAGAAAGTTGAACTTTTTCTATTTTGAATTTTTCAAAAGCCTATAACTTGAGAGTTATTTTAGGTAGATAAATGAAATTTCACAAGTAAGTAAAAGATCTAATTCTCTGCCTTCTGTTAAATTTTGAGTAAATTTCGTTGACCAGATTAAGTAATTTTTGCTATTTCTGATTTCTCAAAAAACCGCATGTGAGTTTATAAAGTACTAATTATATTCCACACTTTTATGCACATTTTATTTGGCGTTCACTTGGTGTGCAATTCTTTTTTCTGCGAGATTTTATTATTTTTTTAAAGTTTAAGTATTTAAAATGGATTAAAAATCATGTCTATATCCCGAGTTGCCATCCCCTGTTGTTTCATATAAGAATATTCGAGAACGTTTAGGGGAGATCACACGGTTTATTTTTTTTTTTCACGATTACAAGACTTTCTCTATACTTGGTATAAACGAGAAAGTAAAAATTAATAAAAGGGAGATGTCATAATTGTATACTTCTTATGTATTTCAATAATTTGAATAGTTCTGAAAATATACATTTAATAGTGGACATGTATAAATGGTCATATATATATATATATATATATATATATATATATATATATATATATATATATATATATATATATATATATACATATATATATAAACTCACCTCACTATTCTGAAAGTCTCGACGCGCCCACTATATGTGATATCCAGTAGACTATTACCTAATGAATACCAGGGTTTACTTAAGACACGGAGTGGTGTGAGGGGGGGGGGGTGGGGGGGGGGAGGGGACATTTAAAAATTGCAGTACATGGAGGGGGGTGTGTGATAAGAAAGACGTAGGTATAGATTTTCTATTTAAATTGAGTACTGTTTTTCTGTTTCGTCCGGAAGGGAAGGGGAGAAGTTGGATTGCTCTCTGAAAGAAAAACACATGAATTGATCGCCATTAGCGGCCTTTTTATTTTATTTGTGCCAACATTTATGTTTCTATTGAATCTTTTTGACAATGTTTGTATACACTTAATTCCTCTTGATAAAAATCTATACCTGTAAGGTGTAACAACGCCAAGAACTACATAAAAGACGCGTTTGAAACAACAAAATTAATGATTAAGTAAATCGATAACGATTAGCCCAGTGAGACTATACAATTAACCGATTCATCTTAAATGCTTGTAAAAGACAGAAGGTGTAACTAAATATGGACTGACTTGTCGATAATGTGGGGTTCAGTTCGTTCAATTCAAGTACAAGGATGGACATACCCACTGGTGTTTTAGAGATTAACCAGCTACTCATTACGTTTAAAAAGTACTCATTCAGAGTGTTGTTCTTGTAGTTTGTTCTTTGTTGGACAAAGGCTATGGAAGCAAATCCAAAAAGAAAAGCAGGCTGAAATCGGAGTCAATGGCCTCAATGTCGCATAACCAGTTGACACGTAACGCTTAATTGTGTTGGAGGCGTGGTCGAGTCGGCAAAAAAGCTCATGGTTGATAAATTCGAACAGTTTCGAGTTCAAACCCACTGGCAGATAAATCTCGAACCCCTTCAACACTAATAATTAAGAACGAAGAAGAAGAAGAAGTGTTGTTATGACGCAAACTTAAATACATCTCGAAATCAGGGGATGCAGACAAAAGAGATAGATTCGATAGAGAAGGAATCAATAGAATATTCCACCAATTAGAAACGAGATAAATGGCCACGTGTCATAGTCAGTTGGTCACTCAAGCGTTAGCTGAGTTCAACTGAAACAACGTTCTGAGTCGGTCAGTGGAACCTAGATCAATGATTTAAGTTCCATTTGGAGAGTTACAGGTGATATAAGCCAGAGATTATAGCCAAGATAAAGTAAAGTAGGGTTTAGAATGTAGTAGTTAGCATAAAGTGAAGTAGGGTTTAGAACAGGCGTTCCCAACCCCGTGCCCGAGGGCGCCATGGCGCCCGCCGAACGATTCGTATGTGCCCGCCTCTCACTATTCGACAGAGACAGAATTTTTTTCATAAACATTATTGAAAGGTTGAAGGGGATTGAAATAGAAAGTTTGAAGGGGGGGGGGTGCAAATCGAAAGTTTGAGGGGAGGGTGCAAATCGAAAGTTTGAGGGGGGGGGTGCAAATCGAAAGTTTTGTCCCCGGGTGACGGGAAGGGTCGCTACGCCTCTGGAAGGAGTTTGTCGATTTAAAATAGGTGGTGCCCTCCAACCTACCGATATTTTAGAATGTGCTCTAGAGTAAAAAAAGGTTGGGAACCCATGGTTTAGAATTTAGTAGTTAGAATAAAGTGAAGTAGGGTTTAGAATGTAGTAGTTAGGATAAAGTGAAGTAGGGTTTAGAATGTAGTAGTTAGTATAAAGTGAAGTAGGGTTTAGAGAATAGTAGTTAGGATAAAGTGAAGTACGGTTTACATTGTAGTAGCTTAGGATAATCCATGCCAGTAGAGTTTGGAGTAAGGTATTTTAACTGTGTTATGACAAATAATTTTAGTACTCTTTTCGCACTATTATACCCGCATTATCATGTTCATTTGGTGCGTAGTGGTTTTTAGTCATGCAACTCTATTAGTACTGAAGCAAAAACTGCGTAAAGACGTTTTAATAACAAGCTTTTATATAAAAATGCATTACAATGGAGAAAATGAACGATTTTCTTTAAATATAGAATAATAAACAAAATACAACTATGTTTGTGGTTTGTGGTTGAGGTCGTGGTTGTGATTATGTTTAACTTTATGTATATTTAGTACAGCGTCTATATTTACAAATCGGCTTTTAATTGAAAACTATTATCTAAATACTACTAAAACTCAAGTTTGTTTACGAGTTTGAATATTTATTTGTTTGTTTGTTTGTCTGATTGGCTACTGGAGAGAATCTGCACTATGTGTAGAACTGTAAAATAGTATGTAGGTAGAGAACAATTTTTGTTTTCAGACAGACTGTAAATCACACGTTTATTTAAAGACGTTAATTAATTTATTGATTTATTCATTGGTAGATTAACCACAATAATTATAAAAGGTTCAAAGAATGGCTTTACTTTGATTGAATAGTGACTTCACATGATTTGTTTACTTTTTACATCAACAATGGCGGCCTGCATCGAAGATTGTGTTCCCATTGCAATGTTTAACGCGTTCTAAAGCTAACTTTCTGTCGACAATAGCTTTAATTATACGTCCGTTTGCTATTTTTATTACGTTTCAGCACTATTATCAATGTTTTAACAGCTTTTTATTTGATTATACAATACACTTCTCTAGATCTACAGAACAGCCGATGAAGGAAGAAAAAGTTCTGAATCTAGATCTAGATCTAGACCTAGGTCACTATACTCTGGACTTAACGTAAATTCTAGATCTAGACTTAATGTAAATTCTTCATCTAGAATCTATTTCAGGCCTAAATTATTTTATAAAAATCTTTGTTTAGCTTCAACGATCATCAAATTTGAGAATGCATGGGATTTATCTATATCTATTTAGGTTCTAGATCTAGAACTAGAACTAGATCTAGATCTACGGCAAAAACTAGAAGCTAGACTCAACGTAAATTCTAGATCTAGATCTAGACTTAACGTAAATTCTACATATAGAACCTAGAACTAAAATCTATTACAAAACTATTTCGGGCCTTAATTATTTTATATTAATCTTTATTTGTTTAGCTATTGAATTGGCTAATTTGGGATATAGTATAGACCCCTAATTAAATTTAAAATAATAGTACCTATTCGAACTGGTTTCTTACTTTGCAGTACAGGATAGGACTAATTTTACATAGCTAAGATGGTAATGGATTGGCTACAATGCGGGTGCTACGGGATCAGTGTTTCTTCCAGACTTTTTTCTCCGGGGGGGCACTTGAAATCTTCGGGGGGGCGGTAAACTTTCTTCGGGGGGGCGGACACTGTTAAAAGTATATATTTTCTATATAAATTATATAAATTTCATTTCGTTCGGGGGGGCGGTAAAAATTTTTCGGGGGGGCTTTGCCCCCCCGAAGAGATGCCTGGAAGAAACTCTGTACGGGATTGGGACACATCAAGACTAAGTTAAATTTTTTTCTCGATTTTTTTAACGTGAATGACGAAGTTGCCTATCGGGATAAAACGATAAAAGCATGTTGTCTGAAACTTGGCGGGACACTGGGCAGGTGAAGAAGAGTTGAGTAGGTCACCTGTGCCTTAAGTATATGAAGGGATAGTGTGGTCAGACCCATGCTCAGCCGAAATCGATGTTTTTAAAAGATAAGAAACGTTTTTTTTTTGGGTCTGGTTGTTTTGTGATGATAAGTGACAGATGTGATGTCATTTATGGAAGACCCCCGAAACCCACAGTCATCCAGGGGATGACGGGTAAGTCTAGTATTATCCAAAAAACCGTGCAGAGCCTAGTTCATATTTAAAAACTCCCCGCACCACACACAACACTGCTCTGTATAGCTAGACAGTGGATTCAACAGAGCCTTTCTTGATCACTATCTCTTCAAATTGTACGTTTACTGATCACAAAGTAAAAACTAATACATATAGCACTGAGAAACATCTGTATTGGACAAATCTATTGTTACATTTGCAGTTATTGGAACCACATAGAAAACTAAAATAAAATGTGGATCACTCATTTTTTCGACTACATGCTTTGTCTTGACTTTGAATATAGCAGCTATGCATTTATCAAATGATAGGTACTTTGTTGCAGTGAAGTAGGCTTACTTTTAAAATCGAAGAAGGAATGAGTAACACATTTTTGTTATAAAAAAGACAAACAACAAAATCACAAGTGATAATTTGGCGAAATTTATTTATATTGAGAAAATCTTGAAACGGTAAGATAAAATCAAATCGAAGAAATAGGTAAATGTGCTTAACTTCAGTATAAAGGAATAAAAATATTTAAAATATCACTTGCATTAGCAAGGAAAGGTAATATTGAGTGTTACTTTGCTATTAATTTTCTTTTTGAAGCCAAACATTTGTTATGTTTCCTCTTGGATTTATACACACGAAAGTTCCTGACCACTTAACGTGGATGGGACAGAGTGGCCGAGTACTAGTGCCTTAGTCGTGAGTTGTACAGTATGAGAGTCGGATGTCAATGGACATTTTATACAACGTTTTATAAATTTGGTAATGGGTGAAAAGTATTACACTAAACAGTATGACGATAATGAATTATGAAATTTTAAGTTGGTGTAATCACAAAATACAGATTTGAAGCGAATATAAGTAAAACCATCGAAGAAAAAAATGTCAGCTACCAAAACATATATTGCGCTGTCAAAAGAAACATATATTTTTCTTAAGTTCAAAGATTACTGTTTTTATCAAAAGTATTTAGTAGTTTCGGATAGGTATTCTCCTGTAAGGTCTGGATAATCAGAAATTGCTGTCGGCGCATATATTTAAATACAGAAAAACAGTCTAATTATCCATGCAAATTATCCATGTAACCATGTAAATAAATAAATACTTATCGTGTAAGGCTAACACTTTCTCATTGAAATAACTAGATTGTCCTCATATTATATATATATATATATATATATATATATATATATATATATATATATATATATATATATATATATAATACAGGCCTATATTCTGACGGTCACATAAAATGTTGTTAAAACTTATTTGTGACTACATTCAATCCTTCGATTAGAATCATCATAAGAAATATTAGAAGAAAATGTAAGTGTGGCATTATTTGAAATGTGAATGTGTAAAAATTTGGGTAAAAAAAAAAGACTGAAACGGTCTTACAAAGATGAGAGATAATAATACATTTAAACGGACCTTATTTTCATTTCGCTAGATGTCGCACTTTTCCACTCGGTAGTAGGATACCAAACTAACCCATAAAAATCCGCAGTGATACCAAACAACCCATTTAGATTTGCATCGATACAGTTGTTAAACCACCATCCTGAACTATACCAAACAGCACAGTCTGTATTCCTGCGATCAAATGTTGCGAAGCCCTGATTTCTATGGACACCAAGTCCATCTCCCGCGGTACCAGAATTGGAATTATATTGTAGTGTGTAGTTGTTCGCCTCGTCCGACAGCTGAAATCCTGCATAAACTTGGTAGTAGCTGCTCCCACCGTATGTGATGTCAATCCTAAGTTCGTGTTGGCTTTTGGAGCTGATACAGTAAATGTTCTCATTGCCCAAGTAGAAGTTGCCATTGCCGTAATCCCCAAAGCCCTTCTTGTAATCTTCCCAGCTCCGGTTAAACGAGACATCCCCAGACACACGTCTCTGTATAACGGTCCAGCCTCCCCCACTTGTGGTTGTGTCACACATGACCACTAGCCCAGAGGTCAGTCGCACCACTTGTCGGGAATTCCCGCTCGGCACGTCTTTGCACGATCTGTAAATGGGGACAGATACAGGGTCGAAGTTCGGGTAGTCCTGACTGTTTATGGGACTCTCTGAAATAGTTCAAAATATTTTTTTACAATTTTACCGTAATCTAAAAATTTCTAGCTAAAACAGAATTAGTACCTTATAATTACTTCACGTGTAAAAACACTGTAGGCGCTTCGCATTTTAAAATTGGAAATCTCGTAAATATTCTGCTTTAGTTCAGCTATAGAAAATAATATTTTATAGTACTGCTCGCTTTAGACTTGAAAAGTCTATGTAATCATACAAAATTTTAAAAAATAAAGAAAGAAATATGTCAAGCCATAAAATTATAGTTACATTTACAAAAATTAAGACGTTTAGAAACCATCGATTACATTCTTTTTCATATTTTCGTGTTGAATGCAAGCCGTTGAAAAGCCGTTTAGAATTATGTTATTGATTGAAATATAAAAAAAACGACCTCAAACCCAACTCGAAGTCAATTGGAATGGCCATGGAAAGTAAAACAATGAAAGTAAGAACAATTATTTTCTATGACAAAATACACAATAATCGTCAATTGGGTATAGCCTTGTAGTATATTTAGATTAAATAATGTAACATCCCCTATCACCACAACACCATGACTCTACTAATACAACCAAAGCCATTTTGTACTTATTTCTTAAATGTTATAATAAATTCGATTTTGGTTGAAAAATAAGCTTTTTGGCACCAACCATTTGGAACCATTTTGAAGCAGCTTTTTAAACCTAATTATGTTTTTTTCTATTTACGAGCTTTTATTTAGTCTGTATTGTTTTGTTTTTATTTTTGGGTTTGTGGCAAATCTTGTAACTCAATTTTAACACACTTTTAATGCAACGATTTCGTTCAAACTTTTAAGATATTGTCCATTTTCATGGCAATATTAGTCTATCTATTTTCAAATATTTTTTTTTAGATTTTTAATTAGTCATTAAAAATTAATTAAATGTTTTTGAAAATAAGGGGAGATAACAAACTTAAATCACTAAACTTAAATAGATTACCAAATTCAATAACTCGATCACCATAGCAGTCTGGTGAGCTGTGGTTGACGAGAAAGTTTACAATAGTTGAGCCGGTTGATCTAGTGAAGGTAGGGGCAGGTAATATAGTTTTAAATGATTTGAAACTAAGAGGAGGTAGCAAGAGTAAGAGCTATCTGTAAATTGTGGCCACGGATGGCTGCTTCTCGCGGGGCAGACAATCGTCTTTTAGAGATCGCGAGCAACTGATGGTGTTTTAAAGCAGATATTTTTAGTTGTTTGGACATCACAAATTAAGAAACTACTGAAAAGAGGAAAAATAAACATAATTATATAAAAAAAACATGTGCACTGAAAATAAGAAACAAAAGTAATCTACTTTCTTTCATAAAAGCTTTGGTCGCTAAAATATGCAACAGATTTCTCATAAGCGACCAAAGCTTTCATGAAAGACATCAGCTTTTCTTAATTTTAGTGCATTTAAAAGCAAATGACAATAAAAAAATATTTTTAAAAATTTAGCTGTTTTTTTCTAACCACTACTAAAGCCTATTGTATATTAATTTACTGAATTTTTTTGACTTACACAGACATAAAGCAAGTAAAATAATAAACCCACCCTTGCATGCTGTGAGGTCACACGAGCTCATGTTCCCATTGGTCAACAGCGTGACATTATCTCTTGTGTTACAGAACTGACCGGTCGAGTACAGCTGGTTCGTCGTCTGGTCGTCTGAGGCGTTCTTAGGTACCAGCCACGAACCTTGTAGTAAACAAAGTTATAAATAAATAGCTTCTTAACATAAGGGATATTTATTATACTAGTGTTTCATAATATCACACAGTATTGGAATCCTGCTAACCAGGAAGGGGTTTTTTGTAAACAGTAAAGTTTCCCTTTCAAACCTGACAGTCTATGGGGCAAGTGAAGTAGAATTCAGTTGTTTCTTTGACATTGGCATATAAAGAGATAGTGTGGTCAGCACTATGCCCAGGCACCTTTACTTTACCTAACGTGAATTAGGTACCCATCAGAGTTGGGTGGTCTCAGGGACGGTTTACTGACTTGAACCCGGATTTGAACTCGAGACTTACGGGTTAGCAGTCCAGCTCTCTAGGTTTTTTGGAAGTAAATTCAATACCAGAGATAAAATTAACCCTAAGCCTTAGTCGAGATTTTACTCAAGTCATACCAGGCCAGAACCCTAACTTTAACCCAAACATAAAAGGTTTTTAAGCAATAGAAAAAAAAAAAAACAAACAACCCATACATTTTCAGAAGAGAATAAAGTCGGCCAGTGACAATTTCATTCAGTGGGAGCGATCACTCCGAGTTCTCTCGTATATATCTTTATACAATATTAATGGCTGAAATAGTACCCCATAGAATACTGCAAATATATTGTCTTTCATCCAAGGAAAGTGTAATACGTTGAGATTTATGTTTATTTATATTGCGATTGTTTTTTTTTTTTATTTCCCCGTATTACTATGTAAATGTAAAACAAAAACAAAATACACACTATACACTTATGCATAGTTTAATCAATTTTCTTTTTGTTTTACATTTTCAATATCAAGAAAACGAGGTGGTCAGTTAAACTATGATATATAGTGCAATCCTTTTACTACAAGAAACATCAAGGCTAGCATATTTTGTGCTTAATTGTACCAATGGCTGTTGTTTATTTATAAAAGAAGCTGAAAAAACACAGAAAAAAACAATTACCTAGTTTACAAGTGCCATTCAGACTGTCATACATAAAGCTGTAGCAGACTTTTTGTGTGTTGATGCAGTTCCTGGCACACTGGAGGGCGCTGTTGGTCTTGGACACCTCACCTATGTGCAGCATCATGGTCTGGTTCCTGTCTTGTTTACTCAAGCTCATTTCTCGAACCTCAGCCATACCTGTAGACAGTTAAGAGCAAACATTGCAACCGTTCTTTGATTATCTAAATACTACTATTGTTTGTAAGTTTTGATATTTGTCATAGTTAAAAATAAGAAAAACTGTAGAGTTTTGAAATTCACATTTTTGTGAGAAAAAAATGAAATTATTCTGTGAAAAATAAAATTAATTATACAACTTGATAACAAATTATGCTCTAATTAAAAAAAAAACCAGGCCTCCCGGAGATTAAGGTTACATTTCTTATGCAAAAATTATATGCATTAAATAGATAAATTGTCTATCGCAAAATCTGGTTGGGTTACTGTTACTATCTCGTATACATAGTAAAGCGGAAGTATTGTAATCGTGCACAAAAATTACATGAAAGTTTATAATTTTTCACCGTTTTACATATCAGTGCTTCATGATATAGGGGACTTATTTTAATCAGGAAATAATTCTAAATCCAAATTTATCAAAATCTCGGCGTTATACGCATTATCGAGTCAGAAAACTGGACTTTGCAATTTGCTTCGACATTTAACAAACTGAAAAACGGTATCGATGACCTCTGTTTTTTTTCGTGGACATTTCACATACGACCGTTCGTTGACAATTATTATTGAATTCATTTGTGATCGTTTTATGGCAAATTATGATTAAATTAATATGTGACCGTTTGACGCAAAGTTTCTGTCTGTAACATACCCATATAACTCTAGCAAAAGAAATGCGACCTACCTTGTGTGATTATACATAATGTCAGTACAGCCGACATAGTGATGTAAAGTTTTTTGTATTCCATTTTTTTTTGCTCTTTACTGTGTCACCAAATTATTAAACGTTGGTGAGGTCTGTATAAGAATTCTGCCAAACAGAAGCAAATATAAAATAGTTTGGTGACAATTAACACCTCTTTTTGTTTAATAGTTATACATTTAAAAGAAATACTCGTTATAAAATGGCTATCCAATTAGGTAAACAGACGCTTCAACTTGTTTTGATCCTACAATACTAGAAAAGAAATAGATATCATTATTATATTATATAGTCTTTAATTGTTACGATTAAATTTACAAAACATATACTAGTAGGCCTACATATATCTTTATCACTATTATCAAAACATGATTGAGAATACATAAATAATTAGTTAATACAGCTCCATCCACGACTGTTTTTTTTAAATCGTGTACGGATAGTTTTTCCTTATTAAACCGTTCCAATCCCAAGAGAACAATAAATTTTATTCCGCTTAATGTAAAAAAATAACATAAATTAATGTACTAAAATGTCAAGAATAGTTCAACATTAATAATGATCTACCAAATGACTATACATGTATAAAGCAATAAGCCTCAATTCAACTCTTCTGGTGAAATGAATTGTTAACAATCAATGTAGCAGGTATGTATGAAATGACCTGCCAAATGAAATTATGGGTCAGTTTACTCAAAGGCTGTTAAAGCAGAATTGACAGGCCAAATCCTACAGGTAGAGAGCTGTTTTATATCCGTGTGTTAAACAGTAGAAAGCCTTGTTCATTAGATTACATCGTTTCACCACAACTCAACTGAACTCAAATCCTAAACCTAAAGCCCTAACCCTGAGAACTTAACCTAAAACCGTAACCCTAAGGCTCTAACCTTAAAACTCTAACACTAAACTCCAAACTCTAAAATCCAACCTTTACTCGAACCGGGGTATCACATGTCTTACATTCAAGCTAGTAATTACGAGTTTAACTGTTTAATATAACGGCAACACTTATTTCTATAGCGACGATAGCCTATAACATAACACGCGTAAATTTGTTATTAGATCTTATTAAAATGTTTCTATTAGACACTGAAACTGTTGGAATAAATATACATTACATTACATTGAAGAGAACGATACACCTTCAGTTTGATGCACATAACTGAAGTGTATAACATGAACTTAGTTACAATTTATAAAATGTTTGTCTCCTGTTGTTTCATTATGTAGTTTTTTGGTTTCATGCCAACATGTTTTTGGTGGTATCTTTATGTGAATCATATTCAGACATACGAAAATCGTGAATTATTAAAAGCACAAGTTTCGCAGTTCGACTATTTAGTACTATATCTCTGTATCTACTCATGTATTCATCCCTATTGCATTGTTTATGTATGATATAATCAACTGTTAGCAAAACTAGTCTACCGTATAATACCACTCACTCGTTTTCGTCTTCAGATCTGTAATTGCATCGTTTCAGAATGCTGTCTTTAGTTATATGAACTTAGTCCACTCAGCTGTAATGGGAACACGACAAACATTAGGGGAACAAATGCTACAAGGCCACACTATCCCCCAGTACGCGGAGGTCATTGAAATAGATAAAATCTTCTGTATCGAGAAAAAAATGACGAGCATGAAGCGTAGTTATAAATAATATGATACTCACTATTTTTTGAATAACCTACTTTTATTTACAAAACATAACAATAGGTAACCACAAAGAGAACCACACTAGGAGACCACAAAAAAAAGACCACAGTAGGAGACCACAAAAAAGACCACACTATCAGACTATGATGTTCTACAACAATGGTTCACAAACTTTTTCGAGTGGCGACCCACATTTATAAAAAGTAAGTGACCCGCGAACCCCATATAATTAAAAGCCGAAATTAGTATGGAAATTAATAAGCACTAAAATAAAATTTACTAGTACACTTTCAATATGAATTATTCTTGGTAACTGTTTTGATAAGATGAGTAAAACTTCATGCTATTTACTTAGAATTCGCGGTTAAGTTATTGTTAACGCCAACGTATGTCATTATCAACATTCAATTTAACAAATTATTTCTTAAATTTGTTTAATCGGAGAATAGTGTTGAAAATCTATTCTTGAAAAGTCAATCAATTTTTACGTTTGGGTATGAATGGTGAATACTACACCAAAATTGTGTGTGCAGTTTTTCATCTTACGAGGAATCATTCTGCAAATCAAAGAATTCTTCTTGTAATTCATCGGGAATGCTGGCAACATCAAGGGAAGAAGAGAATTGGTAATGCGTCAATGCAGATTCTACTTTCAGCTCAGAGAAATAGCGCCGCAGTTCGTTTTCAAGAGATTCAAGATGCCCAGAAATCGCTTCTTTAAAAATTTTAATTATCTCACAATCAGATTCATCTATCAAACTGCATAGTTTCTCAAATTTTCAATATTTCCAAGATTTATGTTCTTTGCCAATTTTGCAGATTTGAAAAAAAATGCTGCAAGATTATCACGAAAAGTGATAATATCCGTTCAATTTCCCTGAAGCTTCAGGTTAAGCTTATGTTGATGTTCGAACACATCTGCTAGATATTTATTTATGTCTTTGCTCAGTTCTTTAAACGGCTCTAGATTTAATATAATATACGACTTTTACTAGCAATGGAGTCGGAAGCGTCTTGATGGCGAGGGCATACTGGTGAATGATGCAGTGGTTAGGGAGCTAAATCTTTTCTGTTTTCTAAAAGCCCAATTTTGACCTAAACATAGATGGCGCACCATCCGTACAAACCCCACAGCGTTTTAACCCACTTTAACCATTCAGTTTAAAAAAAAAACGTATTTATTTTTTCCATGATATCTTAACAAAATAGCAACTCTTCTTAGCTATCATCTGAATGAATAGACAAAGACCAGCAACTGCCAACACGAACTCGCGTCTGTTGATTTATCAACTTGAAAAGCAAACAATGTTGAAAGCTTAATTTCATTCAAAATATGTTCTTTAACATCTATGGAAATGTCTGCTATAAGCCTCTGAATAATATTATTAGGCAGAGATCAGTGTTTCTTCCAGACATTTTTCTCCGGGGGGGGGGGGGGGGTGCACTTGAAATTTTCGGGGGGGGGGCGGTAAACATTCTTCGGGGGGGGGGAGGGGCGGACACGGTTAAAAGTATATATTTTCTATATGAATTATATAAATTTCATTCTGTCTGGGGGGCGGTAAAATTTTTTCGGAAGGGGGGGGGGGCTTCTTCCCCCCCCCCCCGAAGAGGTGCCTGGAAGAAACACTGGCAGAGATATTTGTTGTATCTTTACTGCACGGGAATCCCCATAAAATTATCTTCAACATCTTCAACATTCAGGGCTTGATGAGATTTTCTGCTATTGTGTTTATTTTTTTTTAATTCTTTTTTTATGCTTGTCATTTTCTATAGCGACTTCATTTGATGCTTGCCCTAATGCTGTGTTTCCTCGGTGTAAACTTCCTGTTCTATCAAGTCTCTGACGTTTGCAACTAGCTTCATGCCGACGAAAGAGCTCCATACCATTTTTGGTGCGTTCCGAATGACTCATCTCAAATAACGTTTTAGTTTTGAAAGTTTCATAGACTCATGACTCAGGAAAATTTTTGCACAGTGCGCATTGTTTATTCTCTATTCCATTTCCAATGATGTTAGTAAAACTGAATTTCAGATATTCTTCTAAATATTTATGTTTTTTGTTTCTCATTGCTAGGGTTAGTAGGCTATACCAATTGGCGACCCCAAATAAAGCCTTTCGCAACCCCTGGGGGTCGCGACATCCAGTTTAGGAACTTGTGTTCTACAATATTAAAAATACACTTGCACATTTGCGGCATAGTTCAGTGTGTATTTACAAAATATTACAGACATGCAGATTATTATTTTCGCGTATACAGAATATAGAGGAAGTAATGTAATCGTGCAAAAAATCACATGGAATTTTTACAGTTTTCCCCGTTTTACACCTCAGTACGTCATCATATACTCAGTATAGAGTATAGACTTATTTTAATCGGGCAAAAATAAGAAATCCAGATTTTTCAAATTTCGGCGTTTTACGCGTAATCGACTTGAAAAAAATTGGACTTTTAATTTTGTCCGTATGTCTGTGTGTTGATGTGTGGATTCGTGTCTGTGAACGCGATAACTTGTCAGTACCGTTACAGCAATTTTGACGAAATTATATATATATATTTATATATATAGGCATATATGCTCTGGCTTCTGTGAAAAACCTTTCGGTTAAAGACCATCACCTGTGTGTTTAGTAATCATCATAAACCCGGCATTGCCCACCCAAACCACAACCAACCAAAACCAAAACAACAAAACGCAAACATAACGCTAACACAATTACAAATACAAACGAAAACAAAAACCTAACCACAAACCCAACCACAACCACAAACACCAATACAAACACAAAGAAAAAACAAACAAAAAAGCAAACGAAAACAAAAACCTAACAACAAACCCAACCACAACCACAAACACCAATACCAACACAAAAAAAACACCGAAAAAGCAAACGAAAACAAACCAAATCCAAACGCAAAACCAACCAAAAACACAAATACAAACCCAAAGAAAAAAACACAAACAAAAACGAAAAAAGAAAGAACAAAAACGAACCAAATAAAAATGCAACCACTAACGCAAACCCACCTAAACACAAAGAAAACACTAACGCGAACGTAAACGCCCGGGGCGGAATCACCTGTTTTAGCTTAATGAACGACTATAGTACCCCAACTTATTCATAGTCTTTTGCACTCACTTAAACGAACGCGCCTGTTTCAATTTAAAGAACAATTATAATACTCCAAGCTTATTCGTAAAATACCTACATTTGCACTTGATCAATCCCCGCTAATTATGTAATTATTTTTTTTCCCAACACCAAAACAAAGTAATAAAAATTAAATTCTTTTCCACCAATGCAATGGTTTTATAAAGGGAAGTAGGCTAATTGTGTTTTCCTAATTTATCAAAGGGAAG